AGGGTTGGTGTAGGGCAATAGCACATACAGTTTGTACAGTATAAAAACCATTACGCCTATGGGATGTCCCCACTTTTCACAAAAACAAACCTGAGTGTGTGTGTGTGTTTGGGGGGATCGTTAGATGCATGATCTTCAGGCACTAAGATTTATACATCTCAGCATTCCCATTGTTGAAATATTAATTTACACTCACTACATTTTTTTCTACATTCATTTAGCAGGCTTTTATCCAAAGTGACTTACAAATGAGGAACAGTACGAGCCAATTGTCATACAGAATGCAGTATAGACTAAATCAATACAAAGCAAGAGTAGAGGTGAAATGCAGAAAACAAGAGAAAGAAAACATCAGTATGTCAACTTTAGTTCAACTTTTAGCTTTAGTGTAAAATGTCACAATCATCAAATTCAGTTCTAAGCAGTATCAAAAACTCCTACAGCTTTGATATTTTTACAATGCCTTCTAGCAACCACAGTTTATTTCAGAAATCATAGTAAATCAACTATTAATAAGCAGCAAATTAGGAGTTTATTAAGGCAAAATCCTAGTTAATGGTTTGTTAATAGCGAGAATTTGACCTTAAAATAAAGTGTGACCGAAAATACTTGTTCATTTATCAAAACAGTATAATATAAACAGATAGCAATCAAATTGACCCCTGTACACTGTTGACCCTTTAACCAACCCTTAAACCTAACCATACCACCAAACCTGTCCTAACCTATATCACACCTCAACAGCAGCAAAAGTGTTGTGCATTAACACAAGCTTTTAATCATTTTATAACTTCTGTTAAAATCATTTGTAGATTTTGTGCTTGATCATATGGAATTGAACGTTTAATGACATTTGTAAGCATTTTAATGTACATGAACTAATGATTTGTTTGAACATTATCTAATGTTTAAGAAGTGTATTAAAGTGTAACAAACACATTATCTCACATTTCTAACTCTTTGAATATATATTAACTAATGATCCATTAAGCATTATATAATGTTTGTTAATGATTTATTAATGAAAGTTATTATAAAGTGTTACATTTTCTTTAAATAAATAAAATGAAAAAACAAGTAGACAGAATAGAAAAAGAATAGAGTGTTAGAGGGTTAAGTGTAGATGGAAGTGATGTATCTTTAGCCGTTTCTTGAAGATGGCTAAAGACTCAGTTGTTGGGCAGGTCATTCCACCAGCAGGGAACAGTTAAGGTAAAAGTCTGAATGTAATGTTGTGCTTCTTTGGGATGACACTACAAAGCGCCGTTCACTTGCAGAACGCAAGCTTCTGAGAGGCACATAAGTCTGAAGTTTTGAATTTAGGTAAAGAGCCAGTGTTTTTTTTTTTTTTTTGTAGGCAAACATCAATGCCTTGAAATGTATGCAATTGGTAGCCAGTGCAAATTGATGAACAGAGGTGTGACGTGCGCTCTTTTCAGTTCGTTAAAAACTAATCTTGTTGTTGCATTCTGGAGTAGTTGCAGAGGTTTGATAGAACTGGCTGGAAGATCTGCCAAGAGAGCATTACAGCCTGGACAGAACAAGAGCTTGAACAAGAAGTTGTGACGCATGTTCCAATAGAAAGGGCCTGATCTTCCTAATGTTGTATAAGGCAAATCTGCAGGACCAGGCAGGTTTAGCAATGTGGTCTGAGAAATTCAGCTGATCATCAATCACAAGGTTCCTGACTGTCCTGGAAGGTGTTATGGTTGATGCGCCTAGCTGGGTGGAGAAATTGTGATGGGTTCTTTGCTACAAACTTGCACTTGCAGTGGAGCTAACTTGAGAGCATTATGCAACTAATACAATTTTTGATGTATGATCTGATGCATCACATATAGGCTCTGAGAAGCAGTGATTAAAAACTTTGTCTATAACATGATGCGTGAACGTGAATGAAAAAAAAAACATGAGAATAAAAATCAGCAAGAAACAATATTTTACAATACATTTATATTGTAAAGAATTTGTGCTAAAAAAAAATAAAATAAAAAATCCGCTCTCCATGGTATGGATGCCGAAGACCATGGTAATGTACTGTGGCATTTTTTTTCCCTGGTATGTTTTAGGACTGCACTCATTTTTAAATTGCAAATATATCTCTTAAACGTCTTGTAAATAGCTTTGGTAAACAACATTAGCTTTGGTAAATTTTCAAAATATTTTAGTACAAAACTCTAAATTATGCTTAATTGTAACAAAACGTCTCAGGTTACTTATGTAACCATGGTTCCCTGAGTAGGGAACGAGACACTGCGTCCTCTAGGGGTCGCTATGGGGAACGCCTCGTCGTGACCCGTGTCTGAAGCATACATAGAAAAACACCAACTCGTTGGCCGGCGACAGCCATGACGTCACTACTCAGTTCCACGCGCAAGTCCGGGAAACTCATGAATATTCATGCATGCTCCGCCCACTGAAACTGAGCATCTCGAAACGCCGCAGTACATACTTTGGGATCAAAGCGAAAGTAAAATGCATCGGCCTAAGCTGTCATTTTATGAAAACAGAAACATCTTAACACTTAGTTTTCTTAATTTAGATTTTCTGGATGGAACATCATTTAGATGAAATATGACGGCTGTCCATACATTTCCACGCAGGTGAGTAAAAGTTATTTTCATATTGGATATTCGTTAGACATTCACTCTCTGATGTGTCATTGCAAAATAGTGGTGGTTCATGTTGTATCTCGTTCAGATCTGGCACCAAGCATACTTTAAAAAAGTAATTATGATATTTATTCAATAATGCAATTGTTTTAAGCATCAACGATGAAAAACTCTAGCTAAACGGCGAGCTCAACGAGTGTCTCAAAAGTGCAAATCGCACTAATATCCATAAGTTTATACATTATCCCAGTTCTGTAATTGGCCTACTGTATAAAACGTGTAGTGATCACGATGGTTAATATATTAAGTTAGATTAAGATTTAATTGTTTACTTTCATATGACTTATATCCCTGCTGTTATAATGTAGCCTACAAAATAAACTGAACGCTGGCATTAAATAAATCTTACAACTCTTTGGTCATCTGTCCCAACGATGTCGCACCAGTTGTAGTATCTTCACACACACCTGACACAAATCATACATGACTTGGATTTTAGAAATATGCTTTTGTGTATTTTTGGTGAATTTTTGAAATATTCAAATAGCCTATGTATATAACTTCCTGATTATGTGACCTGATGACGTCACACCACTTGTAATATTTCCACACAATCCTGACAGTGACACACATCATACATGACTTGGATTTTTTTTTTTCATGAATTATTTAAATATTCAAATGTCTATAATTTCCGGGTCATGTGACCTCATGTTGCCACACTCACTGTATTATATTCACAAACTGCTTTCACACATTGTACATTCATCTGTTTTTGGAATATATCTTTGTTGATTTTAGACAATTATTTGAATTATTGAAAACTTTTTTACTTCTTGCTAATGTGACTCATGTGAAATTATTTTGAAATTGAAAGTATATGTGGCAACGTGACGTCACATGACCAGGAAATTTAATAGGTTAAAATAGGTTTCAATATTTAAAAAAAAATTATACAATCAACAAAGATATATTCCCCCAAACAGATGAATGTACAATGTGTGAAAGATGTGTATGAATATAATACAGTGGGTGTGGCAACATGAGGTCACATGGAAGTTATATATTTGAATATTTCAAAAATTCATGAAAAATACACAAAATCATATTTCCAAAATACAAGTTGTGTATGATGCGTATAATGTGTGTGAAGATATTACAACTGGTGTGACATCATCAGGACACATGACCAGGAAGTTGCATTTGAATATTTTAAAAATTCATGAAACACACACACACACACACACACAAAGTTACTAAAACAAAGCGCAGAAGTGAATAAAGTGCTTTTTTAAATTTTTTTATTTTATTTATTTCGTTTTTTTTTTTTTACAAATTTAAGTCTGCAAATGGCTAAATCAAACAAAGAAACAGAACATTTGAAATATCACCATTGTCATCTTCAAGTGGAGGGTCACTATTCTTTGAGTACGACTTGCTGCATTTTCTGCATCTGAGGGCTTGCAGTTCAGACACTGTGGTCTTTGAAAACGGCATCGCAGGGTCTGTGAAAGGAAAAATAATTAATCAGTGGTTTTGAGTGGTGTTTTTGAATATCATATGTATTATAATTTGCATAGATATGCATTAGAATTTGACTGTTCTCAGTTTACCTTTCAAAGCTTGGACTAAATCTTCATCGGGCTTGACATGAGCGTCCATTTTTATCTTCTTGTCTGTCGTCACCATACAATAGGCCTACTCTGTGTTACACTGAACATTAGGTTAAAGCCCTACATCTTTTCAACAGAAGTGCTGAATCCAAAGTTAGCATGAGTAGCCCGAAATTAGGAAGCTTTATTAGGAAATATGTCAGCCAGAATTAAACCTGTGAGATTCATTGATATGAGATTAAACATATTTACCACTCTCTTAATCTGATTTCAATTTGTCTTCTATTGCAGCTACAGCTGATCTGAAAACTAAATACTCATTTATATTTAACATTTACTTCATTACAGTTGTTACAATTACAAATTGTTGATGAAAAAGAAACCATAACTTGATTTTAATTAAAAAAAAATAGCATGTTAATGGTGTACATGCTATAACGACAAATTATTCTTTCTGCCAATACATTGGACAATGTTTTTATAGTCGTTACATGACAGACAAAATTTAAGCAACCATATACCCAGTGCCTATAGTTGCTAGGTAACTAGCTAGTACGTGTCAGTGTCGTCAGCATTCCACGTGTTAGCTAACATTAGCAATTGCACACCTGCACTATCCACCTCGGGAAAAACTCAGAAGTGAGCTTAAAGTTAGTTAAACAAATGGCTAGTAAAAACATTTCTGCAGGCAGTATCTTCATCTGTACGTATCTGCTTCGACTTAGCAGACAAACCTTTTAAGCACCTATTAAGTTGTTCACGGGGCGGGAGGCGAGAGCTGACCTGGTTTTCTAGTCAGGAAAATAAAATAAAGCAAAACTGGGATGATTTCTGCTGAAAACATGTTACCATCTCAACAGCATACAGCTGTGTGACCTGCAAAGCCGATTTGAAAAGCTTGGCTCTGATTGGTCAAATTGAATGTAACTACTGTGCTTAAAAAAAAGCTTTCGACTGAGAAGTAGTAGAAATTAAATACTTACCTAGACTTAGTCAGTATTTTAAGTATGCTTATTACTAAGGCATAGTTGACAAAATTATATTTATAATATAAGTTATGTGATACTCCCACAACCTTATGCATCATCATGTTTAAAATCTGGTCTTTTAGGTTAAGATTTAAAAGTGGTTAAAATGTGATTTTCATTCACAAATGGCACCAATTTGCAATTTCCTGAAAATGACTATTGGTAAAATAATTTAGCATTGATATTCTAATTTGCCTTCATGTTTTGTTTCAGTTCAGTCCAAATGCAAATATCAAAGTCATCTGAAGTTGTGTGTCATTGAGGAGTGACCGGTCAATGGATCCTTCACATAACTTCAGTGGACAAACTGATCTTTGATTTAGGTAAACTTACACTAAACCATTTATCTTGTTACATCATATATGTTGAAACACAGAAATAATTGTTTGACTAAAGTTCCTTTATTATGCAATGCATTTCAGAAGATATTAACTAAAAGATCTTAATTAACAGCTCCGATATGTAGATGTGCACTTGCTGTTAAGTCTCCAACAGCATAATGCATAGAAATAGAAAAATTTTGTCACCTGAATTAGTTAATTACAAAAGTCATGAATATAATAGTGTGTAAATTACATTCACTTAAACTTTAGTGCACAGACCGAACCTGCCTGAACCCAGCTGTGTGTCCATGAAGAGAGACTGGTCAATGGATCCTCCACGTAACTTTAATGAACACACTGATCTTGGATTTAGGTAAATGCCAGCAGTAGCCTTTTCTGATGAAACATGAATCCTGAAATTTCCAGAGAATGACTAATAGTGAACTTTAATTTAGCATATATATTCACTCAATCAACAGTCAATCATTATCACAGTGTCTGATTCTAAATCCCCTTCTTGTTTTGTTTCAGTTTGGTCCAGATGCAAAGACCAAAGTTATCTAATCCCAGCTGTGTGCCCATGAGGAGTGTCTGGTCAGTGGATCCACCACATAACTTAAGTGGACACAAAGATCCTATGTTTAGGTAAAAATACACTAAACCATTTATCTTATGACATCTTCTGTGTTAAAACAGAAATAACTAGATTGAAAAGTTTGTAGACAAACTTTAAGTTGACTTGAAAAAGCCTAGCTAGAAAGTTTGAAAAAGTTTTAAAAGCTTGCAGTCTGAAAGTTTTCAGTTTGAAGTAGTTTGAAAGTAAAATCGTTTTAAAGATTAAAGTTTGAATGTTTTCAAGGCAATACAGTCTATCAGAAAAGCAGATAGGTATAAAACATATTGCTAGGGTACCTGGGGTGGTTGCTAGGCTGTTTCAAGCATGACTAGCATGTTGCTAACATGTTTTTAACATGTTTAACATGTTACTAGCATGTAGCTAGCATGATTAGCATGTTGCTAGCACAATTAGCATGTTACTAGCATGTTTCTAACATGGTTAACATGTTGCGAGCATGATTAACAAGTTGCTAGCATGTTGTTAGCATGATTAGCATGTTACTAGCATGGTGTTAACATTTTGTTAACATGATTAGCAAAGTTACTAGCATGTGTCTAGCATGATTAGCATGTTACTAGCATGTTGTTAGCATCATTAGCAAGTTTCTAACATGTTGCTAGCATGATTATAACATGCTTAGCATGTTTCTAAAATGGTTATCATGTTGCTAGTATGATTAACAAGTTACTAGCATGTTTCCAGCATGATTAGCATGTTACTAGCATGTTGTTAGCATTATTAGCAAGTTACAAACATTTTGCTAGCATGATTAGCATGTTACTAGCATGGTGTTAACATTTTGTTAACATGATTAGCAA